TTTCCTGCTTCCCTGGGAATAGGAAGGAAGTGTGTGTGACGATGAGGAGAAGGGCTCTGTACCTCTGAGGGGACATTTGGGGCCAGCTGCTGGGTTTTCCAGTTTTCATGTCTCAGTAACTGCAGGAGACTGTCTCTTTCTAAGGGGCAGTTGCAATATTACCTTAGAACATCTGGGTTGCCATCTTGTATTCCTGGATTCTCCAGCAGTACAGTGGGGCTGTGGTATGACCTGGAAGGGAACACCTAGGGTGGGAACAGAAAGAAGGAGACTTACATGGTGATCATTTTGAAATGTATAGAAATATTGACTTACTATGTTGTGTACCAGCAACTAACATAGTGTTGTAGGTCAATTATACTTCAAAAACAAAGAGGCAAACAAATAAACTTATCAAAAGAGATCAGATTTGTGGTTACCAGAGGCAGGGGTTGGGGGTGGGAGTGGGGAGAGGGGAATTGGTTGAAGGCAGTCAAAAGGTACAAACTCCAGTTATAAGATAAATTCAGGGAATTCCCTACTGGTCCAGTGGTTAGGACTCCACGCTTTTACTGCTGGGGCCCAGGTTCCATCCCTGGTTGGGGAACTAAGATCCCACAAGCTGTGTGGCCCGGCCAAAAAAAAAAAGATAAATACATACTAGGGATGTACAACATGGTAGATACGATGAACACTGCTGTATGTTACATATGAAAGGTGTTAAGGAGTAAATCCTAAGGGTTCTCATCACAAGGAAAATATTTTTTCTACTTCTTTAATCTTGTATCTATTTGAAATGATGGATGTTCACTAAACTTACTGTGATAATCATTTGATGATGTATGTAAGCCAAGTTTCTATGCTGCACACCTTAAACTTATACAGTGGTGTATGTCAATTATATCTCAATAAAACTGGAAGAAAAAGAAAAAAATGAAATAAAAAAAAAAGAAAGAGGTCTGGACAGGAGTCAGCTGAATTGGGGGACAACAGAGGGTGGGGTGTGCGGGAAAGGACGCATATGTCTGTCGAAGATCAGTGGTCGAAGGCTGAGGCAAGAAGAGCATGGTCGGAGGGGGAGGGGATATTACAACCTCCACCAACCCCCAGCACAGCGTTCTGTCCCTGTTGAACTGCCGTAAGCTCTCCCACATTTCTATTTTACCTGTAGAGATCTGAGAGTTTTCAGGAACTAATTCTGGGAAGTTCTGACTCTGTGTGAAAGGCAACGTCAGAAACAACAGCATACCAAGGCGTGATTACGGTCCCTAAAAATGTATCTATCCCTTCTTCTCTGAGTAGTTAAACTCAGAATTTCAGTGAGGCACCTGGCTCCTCAGCTCAAGACCCCATCTCCCAGCTTCCCTTGCTCCTAGCTGTGGCTTTAGGGTGAAGTTTTAGCCAATGGCATGTGAGTGGAAGGGATGGGTGCCACTTCTGGGTAGTACCCTAAAGGGAAAGACATACACTCCACTGCCCTTTTCCCCCTTCTCTCTGACCAGATGTGGATGTGATGGCAGGAGCTGGAGCAATTACCTTAGATCTTGACATGGAAGCCACATGTTGAGGATGGCAGAGTGACAAAGTAGGATGAGTCTGTCCTGCACTGTGAAACTGCCATAGGACTCTCTCTTGGTGAAGCCACTCTTAGCATGACTTTGTCACAGCAGCTGAACTTGTATCATACCTATGTAAATAACACAGCCAACAGTTGCTGAGAGCTTCCTGTGTATCCATCACTGTACTGGGGGTTTTACACGTAGCATTTAATTTAATCTCCTCCTAAGCCAGTGAGTTGGTGAGCAGCATGCTGTCCTGACCCTCAACACCCCAGACATATCTCTCCTCCCCTCCCTATCCTATCCAGGCAAGGTCAGGTTGTTGGGGTATCTGCCTCACAGCCCTCATTGTCTCCGCCACATACCATGCAATGGATCATGCACATATGAAGAGCCCACATCTATGAATAAACTCAGACTAAGACATAGCCGCCCCCCCAATTTAACGATCCTTCACGTGGAGTAGGAGTGGCGATCCCTGCTTGATGGCTGTGGTTACATGCAGTAGTCTGTATACCGGTCCTACCCCCACTCTTCCTTCCCACTCAGGAACGCCTATTGCAGTGCAGGGGAGTCGGAGTGACATTATTGAGGATGAGTCTTGAATTTGTTCTAATTTATTTTTTAGAAGGTGGATTCCTCCATAAGTCTTTTGAGCACTATTAGTAACAAATCTTTCTTCACCCCCTCATTTGACTGTGGTGGATCGGTTGTAATGACACTGCTGTGGGGAACCACCAGCCTGAGGGACTGCTTCAGTCATTGGTCATGTCTGCAGCTGGTCAGCTTTCCCTCGCACGGTCTGCAGCACCACAGGGCAAGGACAATGGGGTGCTAGCTCTTCAGTGTGGACAGAACACACGGATGTCATAAAAAAGAACATGGGCCAGTTTTGCACTCCCTGAGTATTCCTTCTGCCTTCTGCTTACAGTGTCTTGCTTTCCCTTCAGGGAGCACCTACTGCCTATTCCATGTGTTCAAACGTCTGCTCTTTTCAAAGTTTAGGCATGTGACCCAAACCTGACTACAGTCTCTCTCTCTCTCTCTCTCTCTCTCTCTCACCCAGTGTTGTGTCCCAGGTAACAAGATGTATAACAGTTGGGACTGAATTGTCTTGACTCATGAATTCTCACTACTCTGGATACTGAGTATTAATTTACATAATTAATTAGAGCAAATTCAAGATTATCCTTAAATGCAGTCACTCTCTCCTGCATTTCAATATGTCTTCTTGAAGTGGAGAGAGAAGACTCACACTAGAGTTAACAGGTAGGAAAGCTGCATAATGGGCAGGACCCCAGGTCCTGTCCTTCCCAGGCATTGTTGCCCAAGTCCCCCTCTCATTCTGGGAGCTTCCCTGTAATCCGAGCAACCACACTGCACAACTTTAGGAGGAACCATTCACATGTCATCTCTGGTGTTGTGCAAAGAGGTGGCACTGCCCCATAGCCTTCCAGTACATTCCTCGTTGTTGTTTAAGTTAGCACAAGTCAGTTCTTGAGGGTTACAACCAAAGAAGCTAACCTGGAATCTTTAGCCATTCTCCCACAACCCACTGCTATTCAACCATCCAGCAACTAGACTTGCTTCCCTTTTCCTTTAAGTGCTCCAGGAATAGCATTATCACATTTGAAATGTAAAAAAGTAAACAAAAATACAGGATACCCAGTTAAGTTTGATTTCAGATAGACATAATTTTTTAGTATAACTATGTCTCATGCAATTTTTGGGCACCCTGTGTTGTATCTGGCAGCCCTACCCAGGGAAGAAAATGATGTCTCATCTTTCGGGGTTGATATAAAAGCACTCACCCACATTTACCCGTTTCTCCTGCCCCTTACCGTAATATGTAAAGTGCATCTTTAGGAGTGGCCATATAATTTACCAGATGGTTGGTTTAAGGGTAGGCACCTTATACAAAATGGACCAAGGTGCCTTCCCAGAATTTTTCAGACAGGAAGTAAGAAACAATTAAGTACTCTCAGGTGTAAGAGTTTGGAAAACACTAAGCTCAGGGACTAATGGCAGCCTCGATTTCTTACACGTGAACAGGACTGGTCTTTATTGAGAGAACATGTTGGATGTGCAGGCAGAAGCAGAGCGGAGAGAGGGAGACAATTCTGACAGTGTTCGAATTGCAGGTTCCAGCTGTTCTTGAGACCTCCCTGCCTTGGCCATGTTTTGATTTTTAATCTTTCTTAGATTCTATGAACTATTCAGTTCTTTTTTGCCCAAGAGTTGAAGCCAAATTAAAACAAGTTGCAACCCTTATTTCATTGTGTTGGAGTAAAGTTCTTAAGTTTCCATCTTCCCAAGATGTGAGTGGGAGCTGTATCTTACTCATTCTGGCCACCACAGCATGTAACCCAGCACCTGGCATAGACTAGGAGCTAGATTATATTTTAAATAAATTAATAAATGACTCCGTGGGCTTGGAGGTCAGCAGCATAATGTACATTTGACGAACTTCATTTCTTGAAAGATACTCGCACCAGGAATTTTCTCAGCAGCTCACTGAAAAGCCCTGAAACTTAGAGCATCTGCCACCCACAGCTGGCCTGTTTGGAAGCAAGACTATGTTGGGTCATGTGTTTTTATAGAGGGTGGAGAGTAATGAGCCTTTATGATAAGGATCGTGATACTGAAACAACCTTGCTTCAAAAGCTAACCTCCTTGCATTTTGCAGTGGTTTCAATTCCCTTCTAGACAGATGAGAATGGAATAGGAGCAAGTCCTGTTAGGCCCTCCTAAGGAAGCCCTGGGAAGATGGCCCTGGCACTCCTGGTCCAGACCTAGCACAATTCCTGACAGCAGGAAGTGTAGGGAAAGGTCCAGGTGTAAGTGAATAGGGTAGGGGTCCCCGGAGAAAGAGAACCAAGCCTGGCTTTCTTGACATAAGAGAAGCCATTTTAGGCCTAAGCCGTTTTGGGATCTAAGCCTGGCCACGATGCTTGCCCTTGAGCAGGTCTCAGTAATAATGATCTTAAGGGCACAAAAGAACAAACGACTGTTAACAGGAAAGAGAAGTAACAATAGCAAAGATAATAAATCAGTTGTAAAGACTCCCAGTTCTGTTTCAATGTTAAAAATTAGCCTGAAGCATTTTCTTGAGCTGTTTTGCAGAATTTAAACCCACCTCGAGTGCTCAACCACCAGATCTACTGGAACCTAAAAGATGATGTCATTGACTTTTCTGACCCTGGTGACTTCAATCAGCTAAAGCTTGGACACTTGTAGACTTTTGCCCCAGTTCTATACTGAATTCTTCTGTTCAAGCCCCTTCATGAATATGTATCTACCACTCAAGCCCCATCATGAATATGCCTGTACTCTTAGTTGAAATTTTCCCCAGTTTTGCCGTTGGGGAGACACTGCTTTGGGAAAGATCCTGGTGTCCTCCTTACTTGTTGAAAATAATAAGTCCTTCCTTCTCTTGATCTTTGGCTTTGTTGTGTCTTTCAGCTTGACACCAACCAAGAGGTGAACCAGTTTTCGGGTAGCATCTGTAAGGCATGCCCAGGTGGTACCATCAGGAGCGGTGGTATGTAACCCTCAGCCCTCCGACATCCTAATTGTTACAGAATGTCCTGCCTGGGCTCTGACCCTTCAAGCCCCATCACCCTGTCTCAGGCCCCTCAAAAGCCTGAAATTTTGTTGCCAGAGGTTCAAAGGTCTCAGGTTACAACAGAGGCGGGGCACCTGGAAGCACAGGCCCCATGTCCCCTAACAAGACTTTCAGGAAAGAGGAGTCAGCTTTCAGCTCCAGTGCCAAGCTGTCTAGAAAGGGGGACCAGTGAGTGTCTTGCCCTCCCTAGAGAGCGGTAGCCCCTGTCTCCCAAGCTGTGCAGGGAGACAATTCTTTCTGTCGGCCTGTGGAAGAATGAACTCTGTTGCCCTCTGCACTTGAGGAATTCCATCATCCTTAAATTATTTGTGTCAATCGTTTGAATCGAAAGAGAATTTTAGAGCTGGGAGAATTTGTTTATATTGTTGCAATTTATAATGCTCATTTTGTCACAGCAGTTTGCCTATACAAAAGGATGACCTAACATTCACTTATGGAGAGAGAAAACAAAACGCAAACTAAGGGGGCTTCCCTGGTGGCGCAGTGGTTGGGAGTCTGCCTGCTAATGCACGGGACACGGGTTCGAGCCCTGGTCTGGGAGGATCCCGCATGCCGCGGAGCGACTGGGCCCGTGAGCCACAACTACTGAGCCTGCGCGTCTGGAGCCTGTGCTCCGCAACGGGAGAGGCCGCCACAGTGAGAGGCCCGCGCAACGCGATGAAGAGTGGCACCCGCTCGCCGCAACTAGAGAAAGCCCTTGCACAGAAACGAAGACCCAACACAGCCAAAAATAAATAAATTAATTAATAATTAAAAAAAAAGCAAACTAAGGCTTTGCAACATCAAAGTGAATATTACTTTTGACAAAATGTACAGAGATGTGGAAAAAAGGCTGATCAGAAGGTTTTGTTAATAATGGGCTTGCTGGCTGATCCCTGAGGCTCCCTTCAGCTCTAAGTCTTTGTTTCTTCTGTGTTCATCACATTTGCATGCTGATTTTTGTATCAATGGTGAGGAAAGACTCCAGTGAAAATGTTGTCAGCACAATGGGCTGACAGAACAGTTGTGATTTGTGGAGATGTCCTCCCAACTATCTTATCGCTGTTAAGTATATTCTTGCTGGGAATTTCCAAGAGAGAACCTGATCATTTACTGACCTATTGACCTACATACCTACCTATTGATGTCTCTTCTTTATCATCAACTACTATTGTTATTATGCTAAGTGCTTCAGATATATCATCTCATTAAAAATTCTCACTTAAAATTCTTTTCAATCTTATTAAGAGATACTATCTTCTCATTTGATGTATGAAGAAATTGAGTCCTAGTGAGATTAACTTGACTGATGTCACACAGCTGGTAAATGACCAAGCCAAGGTTGGGACTGAAACCTCCCTGACTTCAGAATCTTAATGAGTTTGTGTAATTGGCTTCCTTCCCTGATCCACTTGCTTAAATTGTATGTTATCTTCTTCTTTGTCCCTTAAGACATTTCAGGGTCTATATATTCTCCAGTGCAGAGGGTCTTAATCTGGGTTTGCAGAAGAGTTTCAGGGAATCTGGGTTTACAGAAGAGCTTCAGGGAATCAGTGAAGCTTTTGAAAGACACGTACATTTTATGTGTAGATACTCACGTATGTGTTTCTGGGAAGAGATACCATTGCTTTTATTGCATTCTTGAATGGTTATGAGACCCTGAGTGTTGGTGTGAGTTGGCTCGTTCCAATGAACTCTAGTGTCAAGTTCTAGGGCAGAGGTTCCCAAACATTAGTGAGCATCAGTCTCACCCAGGGAGCTTGTTAAAATGCAGATGCGCTGCCACTCCAGGTGATGTTGAAACTTGGTCTCTGTGCACTGGTGCCAAATCAAATCTTGGAGACAGAGCTTTGGGTGCCCAGGAGCCCCACAGGGTCCTGCTCAATTTCATAGGGAGTCTGATTTGGTAGATCTGGGGCCAGACTAGGAATCTCCTTTTTTTTTAAATTTAATTTTTATTTTATATTGGAGTATAGTTGATTTATAATGTTGTTGTTAGAGGAATCTACATTTTAACAAGCACCTCAGTTGATTGTGATGCCGGATATCTGGGATACACATCTCACGGGGAGAATAAATTATTTTATTTGATGAGTTACTCTGCAGTTCCCACTCATTTCCCGGTGACCTTAGATCCTATAGTTACCCTTGTGACATTATTGTAGCAACCCCTTTGAAAAGAATCCAGGCATTTTCCACTCCTCCCCCAAAAAATGTTTGAACCTGTCCGTGAATGTCAGGGTTGTGCTCCATAGAAAGAGGAGATCCAGAGAATAAAGACAAATCGAAAGGAATTTCAACAAATTCTCCCAAATGGAAATACTCAAATTGTTGGATATTCCAGTACTGATGCCATCAGCCAGTGATTCCTGACTGTTCATACGGAGCCTTTGCCCAGGTGAGTTCACTGGGGCCCAGGAGGGGGCCGTACCTTGTATGTGCCTAAATCTTCATGGCAGACTGGTGGGTCAGTTTGCCCTGCCCAGGCCTTTTGTCTAACCCCTTTTGTCTCCTTTCATCACCAACAGGAGGCTAGTGGGGTATGAAACTTCATAACCCTTTTTGTTGCATTTTGCACCAGGCATGGCTATAGTGGCCACCCGAATTACACTGGGTCAATTAAATTGTCTCAGGATTTTGAAATGGGGGGAGGGGGCTCAGAAACCCTAAACTTTCTGGAAGTGGGAAGTTATGTGAATTTTGGTTGAGGCAGCTATGTTCGTTTTAATAAGCAAATGGAACAGAAAAGGTCTATTGGGGAGAGGAAGGAAAGTTTCCATTCTTTCTGAGTTCCAGTTGTGTTTCCTGTTTTTGGTTTTTTTTTTTTTTTTTACGGTACAAGGGCCTCTCACGGCTGTGGCCTCTCCCATTGCGGAGCACAGGCTCCGGACGCGCAGGCTCAGCGGCCATGGCTCACGGGCCCAGCCGCTCCGCGGCATGTGGGATCTTCCCGGACCGGGGCACGAACCCGTGTCCTCTGCATCGGCAGGCGGACTCTCAACCACTGCGCTACCAGGGAAGCCCCCTGTTTTTGGTTTTACGAGGCATCTCCATGGTCTTTTTTTTGCTAAAGCAAGTTTGAGTGAATTTTACTTCTTCCAATCAAATGATTCTTTACTAGCATGCTTTCCAAAACATTTCCACTGCAGACAGAAAATACTAGTACTTGCATAGCACAGTCTTGGACCACTTGTGGCACCACATCTGGCGACCTCTGCTTTACTAAGACGTAAAATAGTATAAAGAAGAGGATTTGTAATCAGTAGACTGACAGAGAAAATATCGAATGGGCTGTGGAGTTGAGATGGGATATGGGTTGTGCTGAAGTGGAATGGTGTGTGACGATCTCTTCCTTTCAGGACAAGTGACCAGTGGCCTTTAGTACCCTCAGCCTCTCAGAACCTAGACATGGTCTAGCCCACCGAGATCAAGGTTTTGGGGAACTGTACAGCTGTAAAACATGAGACTAACTGTGCTGGTTCTTTCCTGAAACCTTGCATGGAGTATGGCAAGAAAGGGAGAAACTCTAGCCTAGGTTACCCAGTTGAAAGCACATAGGGCAATTATGTAGTTAATCTCTTTGTGGGATGCCCTTTCTGAGCTGATGGGGACCTTATCAATAAATTATTAATTCATCTTGCCAAATTATAACAGATGAATTCTCTGCCATCCCCTTTTCGTGACTCAAGTTAATGCCTTGATTAAAAAAGAAAGGGGTCCTCATAAGTGGAAATGTGCATAACTGAGAAGTGAGTAAACCAAGCCCCTCCAGAGAGCTTCCCACTGCATACCCTGTAAATCAATGTCATGTTGCATTCCACTATAAAATGCATTCTTTGACCAGGCCAAGTGTATAGTGAGTTCTGGGTGTCAAGCTTGAGAGCAAACATGAGAAAGAAGATCCAGTCCATTTTTCCCCTCTGAGGAAGAGTAGGTAAGAAACAAAGATAGAGCTGGGTGTAGCCTAGGTTGTTGCTAAGCAACAGAACCCCTGCAGAAATGGTCACCCCAGAACACTTGCAGTGCTCTTTCTAAACAACCCCTCAGGCCAAGCATTGAGGAAGCAGTCTGACCCAACAAATTTCTGTCACTGGCTTGGAACCAGTAGAATTCCTTAGAAGAGACAGACAGCCCACTGGGTTTCTATGGAAAGAACACACTTCTGTGCTTGATTCAAACAAATAGGGAGTCTTACTCTGTCCACAGTTGGCCAGGCACCAGGCAGAAGTGAACTCCCACACGCTTGAAGCAGAGCATCAATATATTTACAATGGGAAATACAGTGCCACACTTTAATGCTTATCTGGGGGGAAATGTGCAATAGCCAAGATATAGTTAATGAGAATAATAGCAGAGAATCTCAAAACATACCACAAAGCTTCAGTAATTAAAACAATATGTATTAACATAGGAATAAATAAATCAGTGCAATAGAATAAATAATCCAAGCACGCTATATAATTGGGAAGTTAGTAAATGATCATAGTGGCATTTCAGATCATTGGGGATAAAATGTTGTGATTATTAGTTATAAATTTGGAAATAAAATAAAATTAGAATTACAACTAACACTGTATCCAAAGATAAGATTCCAGGTGAACTAAAGATCTAAATATAAGGAAAAATAACAACCAAATTATAAAAAAGCAGTACAAAAAATAACATTGAACAGGGAAAGTTTTTATTTTAAAAGTAAACCATAAATACCAGAAGCCATAAAAGAAAATACTGTCAGATTTGACAGTATGAAAATTTCTTTTTGAAAAAAGATGTCATAAATAAGATCAAAAGACAAACAGCAGAGGGGATTTCCCTGGTGGTCCAGTGGTTAAGAATCTGCCTGCCAGTGCAGGGGATATTGGTTCCATCCCTGGTGGGGGAAAATCCCACGTGCTGTGGGGCAAATAAGTACACAACTACTGAGCCCACGCTCTAGAGCCTGCAAGCTGCAACTACTGAGCCCACATGCCACAACTACTGAAGCCCGTGTGCCTAGAGCCCTTGCTCTGCAACAAGAGAAGCCACCGCAATGAGAAGCCTGCACACCGCAATGAAGAGTAGCCCCTTCTGGCCACAACTAGAGAAAGCCCACGTGCAGTAACAAAGACCCAGTGCAGGCAAAACAAAACAAAACAAAACAAAACAAAAAAAAGACAAGCAGCAGAGAGGAAGAAAATATTTGCAACATACAGAGCAGAGAATAGGTTACTATCCATTATATATAAAAAGTTTCTACAAGTTAATAAAAACAATCCAATTATTTGAAAAGATAATTTATAAAAGAATACGAACAACTTAGAAACTCATCTCACCAGCAAACTAAAATAAGGCTGATTTGCTATTTTCTACCCATCACATTGGCTAAAGTTAAAAAGCAAAATAATATATAATTCATGCTTTTGGGAAATGAGCAATCACACACATCCTTGGTAGGAGTAGAAATCTAAATTCATACCAAGTTTTGGAAGGCAATGTGTAATATCTATTCAATTTTAATTCAATTTCTAGGAATTCATCCTATAGAAATACTTATCCATGTACAATCATAAGTAAT